AGATCACTGGTTTGATTCCTGGTCAGGGCTCGATCCCAGTAGGGGGCATACAGGAGGCAGCCGATCAATGATCCTCTCTCACCAATGTTCTTATTCCTCTTTCCCTCTCCCTTCGTCTCTCAAATTAAAAAAAAATAAAAAAGTATATATTTTTAAAAAGATCCTGGAAAAATATCCTCAGGTGAAGATTAACAAAAAAACAAAGGCATAGACGGTCTATGAAATCACTTATACAGAGAAAGACAAATGCTGTGTGGTCTGACTGATATGTGGAATCTAAAAATACTGAACCCACAGAAACAGAGATCAGATTGATGGCTGCCAGAGGCAGGGGTGGGGTGAGAGAACTGGGGAAAAGGGGTCAAAAGGTACCAACTTCCACTCCAGCTCATTTGGCTCAGTGGATAGGGTGTGGGCCCAGAGACTAAGGGTCCCAGGTTTAATTCCAGTAAAAGGCATGTAACTGGGTTGCAGACTCAGTCCTCAGCACTGGTTGGGGCACATGTGGGAGGCAACCAATTGATGCATCTCTCTCACATCAATGTTGCTCTCACTCTGTTTCCCTCTCCCTTCCAGCCTAAAAATCCATGGAAAAACATCCTTGGGTGAGGATTAACAAAAAAAAATTTTTAAAGGTACAAACTTCCACTTAGGAGATAATTAAGTCCTGGGATGTTATGTACAACGTGATGACTATAGTTAATAATACCATGCTGCATATTTGAAAGTTACTAAGAGAGTAGATCTCAAGAACTCTTGTCACAAGGAAAAAAAACAATCATAACTGTGAGGTGATGAACACTAATTAATCCTACTATGGCAATCATTTGGTAATGTATGCATATATTAAATCATTATGCTTATACACCTTAAACTTATACAATGTTATACGTCAACTAGAGGCCCGGTGCACGAATTCATACACAGATAGGGTCCCTCGGCCTGGCTGGCAATTTTGGCCAATCAGGGCCCTCTTGACCAGTCCCAATTGGGCCAATGGGGCTCGGCCAATCAAGGAGGAACTGTGGGACATTGGCCAGCCAGCCAGGGAGGCACCATGGGAGGGCTTCAGGTCCAGCCCTCTTGCCCAGTCCCAATTGGTGGGACCCCTGAAGCAAGCTAACCTACTGGTAGGAGCGTCTGCCCCCTGGTGGTCAGTGTGCATCATAGCAACTGGTTGAACAGTTGAATGATCAGTGGGACACTTAGCATATTATATAATTATATGCATCAATTATATCTCAAAAAACTGGGGACAGAAGAAAGCCTTTTTTGCCTAAGCAAGATGATAAGAAAGAAGTTCCACCATACTCCCAAAAGGGAGACTGAGCACAAGCATGCACACTACCCAGGGCAAACCTGGGATCCTGGAATTTAGAAATCACACAGGCTCCCTCTTTTCTCACTCAGCTGGGGACCCTGAAATAAAGTAACCTATCTTTGCAAAATATAAGCTCTGGATTTCCAAAACAAACACAGTGGCTAAGGGGTTAGGAATGTGGATGCATTTTAATGCATGAAGTGAGCCAGGCCTTTCCCCCTCTGCGATCACCTGGGGAGGGTGTGGGAGCAGGTGGTCCCTGGAAGAGGGGGTAATGGTAACTTCTCAGGGGCTGAGGATGTCCTGTCTAATGAGCTGGGTCTGGTCCCTTAGGGGAGTTCACTTTATGAAAATACATCAAGCTATTCATGAATGACTTGTGCTATTTTCTGTATGATATTGTAATAGAAAGGTTTTCTTAAAATTAAGATTTTTTATTTTGTTTTATTTTAACAAGAGAGAACACCCAGTGCTAATGAGGACACTTGAAATGAACACTCATACACTGGTGGTGGGACCATAAGTGTCAAAAGTATTTTTAAAAAGCAGTTTTCCGTGTGGCTCAGTGGTTGAACATTGGCCTATGAACCAGAAGGTCATGGTTTAATTCCTGTTCAGGGCACTGCCTGGGTTGAGGCTCACTCCTGCAGAAAGCAGCCAATCAATGATTCTCTCTCATTCTTGATGTTTCTCTCTCTCTCTCTCTCTCTCTCTCTCTCTCTCTCTCTCTCTCTCTCCCCCCCTCTCTCTTTCTCTCCCCCCTCTTTCTCTCCCTTCCTCTCTGAAATCAACAAAAGCACACTCTAAACAATAAATAAATAAAAGAAGTTTGCCAAAAGTATAAACAGAGAACATCAACTCTACCAACACTCAAGTCATGAGTGTTGGTAGAGTTGATGTTCTCTGTTTATACTTTTGGGAATCTTTAAAGTATCTCGAAATACAGAAAAATATTTATATGTCAACAATACATATCTTCACAGCATAAGTGAAAAGTTGAAAATACCCTAGAAGTTAAGCAATAGAGGAAATACGGTATATTTATAAAGTACTGTTTAGTCACTAAATTGTTTGAATGCTTAAGTGCAGCTTCCCATTCAATTAAGTAAAAAGGCAGGGTGCAAAATTTAAATGTCTTTAGTTTCAACTGCATCAAAGCACTTGTCTCATCCTAATAAAAGAGTAATATGCAAATTGACCATCACTGCAATACAAGATGGCTGCCCCCATGTGGACACAAGATGGCTACCACAAGATGGCCAGCAGGAGAGAGCAGTTGGGGCAATCAAGCCTGTAGGGGAGGGCAAGTTAGAGGTGACCAGGCCAGCAGAAGAGGGCAGTTGGGAGGGACCAGGCCTGCGAGAAAGGGCAGTTGAGGGCGATCAAGCCTGAAGGGGAGGGCAGTTAGGGGTTACCAGGCCAGTAGATGAGGGAAGTTGGGGGTGAGTAGGCCTGCAGGGAAGGGCAGTTGTGGGGGACCCAGGCCTGCAGAGGAGGGTAGTTGTTGGGGGGGACCAAGCCTGCAGGGGAGCAGTTAGGCATCAATCAGGCTGGCAGGGGAGTGGTTAAGGAGTGATCAGGCTGGCAGGCAGAAATGCTTGTGGGGCAATCAGGAAGGCAGGCAGGTGAGCAGTTGGGAGCCAGCAGTTCTGGATTGTGATAGGGATGTCCAACTTCCAGTAGGATTGGGCCTAAATGGGCAGTCAGACATCCCTTGAGGGGTCCCAGATTGGAGAGGGTGCAGGCTGGGCTGAGGGACACACTCTTCCAATGCACAAATTTTGTACTCCAGACCTCTAGTAATAAATAAATGTCTAGTGTTTTTTAAAAAATGCATTAAGTATATCTTTAAAAGCACAGTTAATAAGAGTTCTACAGGTCAGTCATTGCCCGAGCAAACCAAATTCTTTTGCATTAAGAAACCTGCCATCACGCACCACTGGTGGGAATGAAAAAGGATGCAGCTGTTTTGGTAGCTTGCTGGTTCCTCAAAAGGTTAACCATAGAGTTAACATGTGTCCCTGCAATTCCACTACTCGGTGTATACTCAGGAGAAGTGAAACAGAAGAACTTGTACATAATGCTCATAGAAGCATTATTCACAATAGCCCCAAAATGAGTATAATCCAGACGACCAAATTAAAGGATAAACTAAATGCAGTATCACCATACACTGGAATATTACTCAGTGACAAGAAGATATGACACATGCTTTGACATAGATGAGCCTTGGAAATACTAGGCTAAATAAAAGCAGCAGTCATGCCCTGGCTGGTTTTGCTAGGTGGTTAGGGTGCCTGCCCTGGGACTAAAGTGTTGTGGGTTCAGCCCTGGTCAAGGGCATGTACCTGGGTTCAATCCCCAGCCCCGGTCAGAAGGCAACCAATCACAACCAATTGATATCTCTCACATCAATGTTCCTCTCTCTCTCTCTCCTTGCTCCCTCCCTTCCACTCTCTCTTTAAAAAATAATCAATGGAAAAAAATATCCTCAGGTGCTGTTTAAAAACAACAACAACAACAAAAGAAGTGGTCACAAAGACAGAGAACCATATACTATAATTCCATTTATATGAAATGTTTAGAATAGGCAAATCCATAGGGACAGATAGGCTAGTGTTTCCTAGGACTGATAGAGTTGCGGGGAGATGAAGTACAGGAATTTCATATTCATGGGGGAAGAGAATATGAAAATGTTATAAAACTGATTGTGGTGATGGTTGCACAACTGTGATATATAAACACGTTCAATAGCACATTTTAAATGGGTGACTTGTATGTTTGGTGAGTTATATCTCAACAAAGCTGCTAGTGAGAACAAACACATGGTGGTAGCCACGCTCCTGCACGACCTGCACTGGTCCAGGGCACCTCGGGGCTTCAGGTGCAGACTCTCCTGCAGACTGTGGCATGCAGCCTGAGCCTGCGAGGCAATGTCTTCAGGCCAGTCCTTGTTGGCTTAAAACATCTTCCACACTCATGCCTTAGAGCTTTCAGAATCCTTGGCAAACACACAAGTAACTGCCTGGTATTTTCACAAGTTGTCAAAGCATTTAGGGCTCTATTTCCTGAGCTGGCCCAGAAATAAGCACACGTGTTTCAGCCTTTACCCTGCCCCTCCCTTCCAGGGAGGGTGAGGGATAGGCTTCCAGCTTGGCTCACACATCAGCCTGGTCTCCTTCTCACACTTCCTCAGGGCTCAGCCTTCCCGCTCCAGTCCTGAGGACTCATGATGGGAAGGGGAGGGAGAGCAGAAAAAAGCATGACAGAGAAGGCTTTGAGCCAGGCAGCTGAGATGAGAGTAGTGGACTGGTGGGAAGAAAGGGTCTTTAAAGTTATTCCATGGCACCCTTCATTGCAGTTTAAGAAATCCAAACAAAAGAACTTTATTTTGAAATTACTTTTATCACATGAGCTGTGTTAACTCTGATCCCACTCAGACTGAACCACATAGTTCACGGTTTGCTGAGTGTATGTACTAAGAGTTTATAGCTTACACATCTCTCTTCTTGACGTGACTCCCATGAACGTCTATACATGGTCTAAAGAAGCAATAATTGCTTTGGGCTTTGGCTTAATAAGATGGGTGGGCAAAGCCATGACTGTTAAGGTACTCCATACAACAAAATGTTTACGTTTCCTCTGAGTGGTAGGGTTATGGAATCCTTCTTTCTTTACACTTATCTGTACTTTCTGAGTCTCATCGGAACAATGAGTATCTACTAAGTAAACCATTAGTGAAACTTCCCTGGTGCTAGGTTACACATGAGTGCTACTGAACAGTAGGTCCCAGGGAAAGTACAACAGAACCAGAGGGCAGAATGTCTCAGCTCAGAGAATGCTGAGGTCCCCAGTACCCAAGCTGGGCTCAGAGGCCTGGCCAACATGGAAGTCGGTCCTGAAGACCATGTTCAAGGTTTTTTACCTCAGTTCCAGAGAACTTGATTCTAAGAACAAAAATATAAAGAAGCCTGTTCTACAAGGGTAAATCTGGGTCCTATAATTCTATTCACTTATTGGAGGGATGAATCATTTCGCCAATGAGGGATGGTCAAGGGAAGTAGAGATAATTAGACTGAAGTCTTAGAAAAGCTGGCAACTATCATCAAAGCAGTGGAGGGTTATTGCATGGAAGAGCCCCAGGAAACAGGCCAAGGACAGCACTGTGTGAACTCGGTGGCAAGATTTACCTTGACTTAGGAAGAACATTTTGAGCGCCAGAGGCCCATCCCTGGAGTGGGTGCCTCCTGAGGCAGCTCCAAATGCACCAGAAGCTGGGTATCACCGTTTCAAATATTAAACGGGCTTTTAGTTATCAGGAGCGTTTGACCAAAGGATCTGTTTGATCCTTCTTAACCCAGATCTCCTGATTCCACAGGGCTCTTTGCTCCAGTGTTGGCTTGCTTTGGTGTATTTTTATTAGAGCATGCTCCCTTATAGATCCCAAGCTAATGTAGCTCAAAAAGACAAAACAACAAAACCCCGCCACTGTGGGGTTCTGTGAACTGTTGACCTCCCTGCTGCTGCGGCCAGTGAAAATTGCCGATCACCATTACTGAGCTGTGCACAGCCTATGCAAGGCTGCCCAGGAGCTGCTGCCCCCTCGTGGAAATGAATACAACTGCTTAGAAAGCAAGCAAGATGCATTCTGAGGCTATTGTCTACACTAGGGGTGTCGAACTCAATCAGAGAAGGGGCCAAAATCTAAAATCCAGCCTAAATCGTGGGCCGAATGGTTTACTGGACAGTCATAAACTGTCATTGTGATGGAATCGCAGGGGAGTGCAGTGATGACAGCGCGGTGCGGGCCACATTGCAAGGCCAGGAGGGACGGATTTGGCCCGCGGGCCTTGTGTTTGACACATGTGGTCTACACACAGCCCTATCTTTCCTTCCCCCATCTTCACTTTTTAGTGAGATCCCTGCAATTTTTGACCCTAGCCCACCAGGGTCTTTTGTTTACATTCACATCATTATGTCCCATAAAAGCCTGGACTTTTAGCCACAACGTAAGTCCTGGTTTCCACAGTGGTTAGAATTTGCGCCTGACTCTTTCTAATTAGAGTGAACTTGGACATAACACAATGCTATAGAAAGAGCACTAAGCCAGGCTTAAAGGCCTAGGTTCCAGCTCATGTTCTGCCATTTGTCATGTCACCTTGAACAAGTCACACATTTCTTACACATGTGCAAAGCTCTGGAGTTTGGAGAGGTGATCCTTCGAGAAAAGTGGTCCATCCTATGTGTAGTATCGGGTCTAGTAATAATTAATGTCGTTTTTAAACATTCGTTTAAAATCTTGCTTGGTGTTGACTTGTATTGACATAACCTTCAAACACGTGGTATCTACAGAACGTGTGAAGTGCAATTAACAAGTTTTGCTTGAAAAAGTTTGTGTTTGGTTTGGTTTTTGTTGCAAAACTAGGGCTAAGAAGATGGCGGATGAAGAGCATATTCAGCACTGCATGCTTTACGAGTTCCAATTAGGAAGAAAAGCAAGTGAGGCTGCAAAAAACATCTGTAGTGCTCTTGGTCAAGATGCAGTTAGCGCCAGAAAATGGCAGCGTTGGTTTGAGAAATTTCGCGAGGGAAATTTTTCATTAGATGACAAGAGTGGTCGAGGCCGTGTGTCCAATTTTGATCAAGAAGCTCTTCAAGCTCTTTTGGTGCAAAATCCTCAAATTACCCAACAAGAGCTTGCAACAACTTTAAATTGTTCACAAAAAACAATTTCCAATCAATTGCGTGCACTTGGCAAAGTCCAAAAGTTTGGAAAATGGGTTCCTCATGAGTTGACCGACAACAACCGTAATCAAAGAGTCACAATTTGCAGTTCGCTCCTTTCTCGTCAAAACCGTTTGCCGTTTTTAGAGCAAATTGTTACCGGAGATGAAAAATGGGTGCTGTATGTTAATTTGAAAAGGCGGCCTCAATGGTTGGACAAAAATGAGGCTCCGCAGCCCACGCCAAAACCTGACTTGCATGCGAAAAAAGTGATGTTGTGTGTTTGGTGGAATTTTAAAGGAATTCTTCATTATGAACTTTTACCATCTAACCAAACCATTACAAGTGCAGTGTATAGTGCCCAATTGGAAAGGTTAGCCCAAGCTTTAAGAGAAAAAGAACCCGCGCTGATTAATCGGAAGGGCGTAATTCTTCACCACGATAACGCACGACTGCATACTGCAAGAATCACTGCTGAAAAACTGCGCCAGTTGGAATGGGAAGTTCTCCCTCAACCTGCATATTCTCCTGATATTGCCCCTTCCGATTACCATTTGTTTCGTTCTTTGCAAAACTTTCTTCTTGGAAAAAAATTTAATAATGAACAATGCCTCAAAAATGCATTGACCGAATTTTTTGCATCAAAATCACAAGAATTTTACAACAGAGGGATTAAAATGCTTCCTGAGCGTTGGGCACAAGTAGTAGAAAACAATGGCAACTATATTGTTGATTAAATTTTGTTGTATTGTTTAAATAAATTCGATTTAAAAAAAGTATTAGAAAACGACATTAATTATTACTAGACCTAATACTTGCAGCGGCCATTCACAGCAAAAGGCTGTGGGACCCTCACTGGCCTAGGGACCCTCACCCACCCATAAAGACTGGCCAAGCCCAGATGTTACTTATCTGTGCCTCCCACCTCAGGGACTGCCACAGGCAGAGGTTTTTCTTTTCTTGTAACAAGGAACTGTGCAGGGCTGATCAGGGAGGGACCAACAATTCCGAGGTTGCTCATTCTTGCCATTCTTGCTGACAATAGAAAGCCTGGTGACTTAGATGAGTCACTAGCAGAAATGTCTCATTGTTTCTCAACAGCTCACTGTTGCCATAGCAGGGTTTCACATGAGGAAGGGGCAGCTGAGGACACCACCTGGTCTGAGTGCTAGGCAGGTAGGAGTTCAACACCAAACTGGAAAAATGGTTTGGAATAAAGTCACCGAGTGAGGAATAGACTTTCATTTTGTGTTTTTATGAATTTTCAAGACACTTTCATGAAGAGTCAAGGAAACAGAGGGTAAAGATTAACTTCTTTCTCAAGATTGCAGTCTCTATTCAGAATCATTTATGGTTCCAAAATGTTAAAGGATTATTTTTGTTTTAGTTCTGTAAAAAATGTCATTGGCATTTTGATAGGGATTGCTTTGAATCTATACGTCACTTTGGGTAGTACATACATTTTAACGTTAATTCTCCCTATCCATGAGTATGGTAATATGCTTCCATTTACTTTTACCTTCAATTTCTTATAATTTTCCAAGTACGGGTCTTTTACCTCCTTGGTTAAATATATTCCTAGGCATTTTATTGTTTTTGATGCAGTTACAAATGGGGCTTTTATTTTATCTGGTGGTTTGTTATTAGCATATAAAAATGAAACTGATTTCTGAATATTTATTTTGTATTCTGTTACTTTACTAAATTCATTTATCAGTTCTAGTAGTTCTTTTGGTGGAATCTTTAGAGTTCTCTATATATAGTATCATATAACTTTCATATTTAAAACGCATTTCTTTGTACTTAGGTTTCCCACAAAAAATAATTTTCCTTCAGGAAATGGCTTGCTAAGTTTTTGTTGTCTCTAAATGGTACTTTTAGTTTAGTATGGAGAACTATGCTCTGTTGGCCCCTAATACTGGATTAAGCTAACTTTCCCTTATCAGTATAACAGGAAATTCCAAAAGCAGACAATGTTTTGTTGACTTCAGCCACCTTGTACTCTCCATACTTGCTAAAAATAAAACATCCTAGTGAGGAATTTACTACATTAGTCTTAAAACATTTTTTTATCTACAAGGAATCTCACAAACTGAAGTGACAAACTGCCAGCAATACATGGTCCATGAGTCATGGTGTTAGCCTGAACTTTGAAGGTACTTTTTCTCCTCCCAAATACTTTAAGCCAACTGAAAAAAATTTTTTTTTTAATTTGATCACAGTGAAGGTACATATCTATGTATATAAAAGCCTGTGACCAAGCGACTGGTCCACTGGTTGCTATGACACACACTGACCACCAGGGGGCAGATGCTCAACACAGGAACTGCTCCCTGGTGGTCAGTGTGTTCCCACAGCCAACCTCCCGTGGCTGGTCAACCTCCTGCAGTCTCTTCTCCCAGCTGGCTGCTCCTTCCCCCTCCCCTTCACCCTACTTAGTTGGCCCCAATCAACGAAAGGCCAGGCTGGGGGACCCCACCAGGCCTCTAGTTAAAGCATAATTTAATTAATTAGCTTTAATCACTGGTTATAAAAAGGTACACTAAGAAAATGTTTTCACTAAAATGTAAGTTACTATTTAGTACACTACTTAACCAACTAATCCTAAATGTTATGTAAGAGTAGTAAGTCAATCTGCCTTAATAAAGGTTTGTTAATAGGGACCAGATGCTGTTCTAGTGTTTCACAGACAAAATCTCTAGTCCTTGGAAAAACCCTATAAGGAACATAAGCAAACAGACTCAAACTTGTCAAATTACTAAGCAAGGCCATACAGTTTGGTAGCAGCACCAGGATTAGAACATGGGCCTGGCCAGTTTTTGCCATGACTGAGTCCTTTCCTCTCTATCTCCTACAACTGCCTTGCTGAAGATGAGAAACAGGATGCCCCCATGATGCCAAACCCTGGTGCTTCAACCAGTGTTTTCTTGATATACTAGACATCTACTTAAAATTTTATTTGAAGCAAGCTGTGACTTGTTTCAATATATATTTCGTTTTCTATTTATCACCCACTTTCATTTAAGGCAAATGGGTTATAGAGATCCTGAAAATGTCAGAAACAAAGAACACTAAAGAACACCTGTAGCAACTCTCAGCATTGGGTCAAACTACAGCATGTTGGAAAGGATATTACTGAAAAGAGCTTGAACAGGGCATTCTGAAAAATAGAGGGTACAAAACCTGGGCCGTGCTTATAACTCCAAGGGTTGGGTATGATGTTCTAAACTAGGGGTGTCGAACTCAATCAGAGAAGGGGCCAAAATCTAAAATCCAGCCTAAATCGCGGGCCGAATGGTTTACTGAACAGTCATAAACTGTCATTGTGATGGAAACGCAGCGGAGTGCAGTGATGACAGCGCGGTGCGGGCCACATTGCAAGGACTGGCGGGCCTTGTGTTTGACACATGTGTTCTAAACTGAATCCAAGAGGTATATTATTATATGTATTTGCTTATTGACACCATTTTTCTGATTTGAAGACACAAAGTCACTTTCAGTCACTTCCTTTTAATTTAATATTTATTTTCATTTTATATTCAGATGTCACATTTTCTACATTAAAATATAATCATGCTGACTCTCCCACATACATCCTCTGAGAAGAAAGTGAACTTTACACAACTTGAAAGATGGAATGCACGGAGAAGTTGCTATTGCACCCAACTAACAAAGAACACAGAGACCACACAGTGGACAAGGCGGAGTGCATAGAAGACAGCTCAGGGCTCACAGCAGGAAGGAGCAGGAGTTAAAAGTTTAGCTAAAGCTTTTAAATACTATCACTTGTGCCACAAGATTACCCTGAAGAGGCAGAGATGGGTCAGAAAGCAGGACCAAATAGGGCTTTCCAAAGGCTGCTCTGTAACAATTTAACAGGTCCGTACACAGGAGAGCTTTCTCCCACACCGTGTCCTCAGCTTCTGGCTAACACCTTAGAAAAGTACACCAGTTAGCATGTCCGAATGTAGCACGGGTGTAGGTTTTTCTTTTCTTTATTTTTGCTGTACCTCCAATTCTTTCCAAGCAACAATTATACTGATTATTTTAATTATGATTCCTCTGCTTGACAACCCAGTAAGGATCAAGACACGGCATCTCACTACTGTCCGATTGATGCCAGCTGTGCAAAAGCTGCAAGACTGTGTGCTACTCGGAGGGAGAGAGCACATGAACACACGGGAGTCCCAACTCCTTTTCTAGGAAAGAGCAGGTGGACAGTAAAAGCCATCTGCTTAGAACAGCAGCTCAGACCTAGAGGTACACCACCATCCAAGCACAAATGCTGAGAGAGCTCTGAGCTCTTCTAAGCAGAGGCGGCTTCTAGTCCTGATCCTGCCCGATTTGGAGATCAAAGCATTATAGCTCCAGATAGTGATACTCTCAAGAGGGGGGAGAAGGAAGGTCCGAGAGACTCAAATAATGAGGACATTATTAGGCAACTAACTATCCCACTATTTACAAATACACATGAGTAAGAAAACTTCGCCTCCATCCCTGCAGCTACTTTAAACAAAGCAC